AGTCAAGGTCTATTGGTCTAGTGGTTTAGACTCTGGGTGAAAGCTCAAGTGGGCCAGGGTTCGATCCCCGGCGTGTCGCATTCTCATTTCTGATTGGACGATGTTCTGACTGGGATAAGCGAATGTGATGCGTTAGGCAATCTGCGTCGATGGCCTACTATTCCGTGTATGCGGGTAGGTCAAGGTAAGGGGTGCCGTGGGGTATCTTTTTTACTGCCTCGAGTCATCAACACCTGTGTGCGTACGCCGGGGAAAATGATGCTTGCTGATGCGTAGGTAAAAGTTTGGTAAGTGCACGGTGATGCATGATAGTGCTACCTCTCCTCATCACAGCAGGAGCGTGCTTTGTTGCTATCGTAGCAACGGCTTGCCTTTCTCGCGACAAGCGCTCAGGAACATCGATATACACACGGGCCTTTTTATACATCGAAAACTTTAGAGGCGCCGCTTCGACACGCACGAGCAAGTTCTCGGTCGCCACGCCCGTCGTGGCGCGGGGCGGGTTGAGCTGCTGCAACGTGGCCGCAATGCCCCGTACTCTTTGTCGGCTGAGGCAACGTTGGCAATCTGCAATCGCATCAATACATGGGCTCGAGAGTGATCGACGAGGCGACCTCCCAGCGCGGTCAAGTCGCCGCGCCGCATACTGCGGTCTTGGTTTTTTGTCGAGTGCTTGATGACGCGCGTCGTTGCGGGGATCTTGGCCGGGATATCGTCGTCTTTCTATGAGCATCCTTGGGGCTTGGAAGGAGGCAATGGCCTCTAGGAGCAGTGCAAGTGCAGCAACGCCTCGCTCTGCCAGACGAGCAGGTGCTTAGCCGTAGCTTCTGCCACATGCTAAAGTGAGCGGGGTTGTACTAGATAATCTTGCCAGATCGACCTCGAGCGTACGACCAAGGAGGCCAAGGTTGTGCACTAGATGCAGCTGCCGCGGCAGATGAAGCTCAAAGAGGAGATCGATGCGCTGCGACGACGCCAACCGCGCCAAAAGACATCGGCGCCAGAGGCCAATGAAGCCCTTAGAGCCATCGCGACCGTCGTCGTGCCACCGGCGACGCTTCGGGACGAGGTACGTAATCGCTAGGCTGGCTCGTTTCACATGGAGGTCTTTCGCTCGACGCAAGAAGCTGTGATCCAGACTCGCGCAGACCTCATGCAAGTCGATTGTGCTGCTGACGAGACCGTCTTGGTACGAGGCAATGGTGAGGAGAAGTTGCGAGACAAGCACTGACCGAATACACGTCTCGGAAGCGCACCGGGTCCTCGCGTCACTAAAGCACTGAAGAAAAGCGTCAGGCGCGCAACAGTACACGGCCGCCGCCTTGGCCGCCTCCAAGAACTCGCATGCTTCGGGTTGCGCGCAGAGCCAGTGAAGAATGTTGCGTCGGCCATATTCGACTGGTGCTTCTGAGGCGGTTGCCGCTTGCCTCCACGTGGCACGCTGTGGGCCCAGGAATCCTCTCAAGTGCAGGCATGTACACTCGATAAAGTACGCTTTCATCACATACAAACAACCAGTTGAATTCCACGAATATCGAACTTAAGAGGTACCTTTATATTGTATTGACTGTGAGAGGTCGGATTGCATGCTTGGCACATCTTCATGGGGAACAGTGCAAGTGGCGGCGATGGCGCAGCGACCTCGCTCCTGGACGCAGCCACGACGTCGGCCTTGGAGAAGATCGTGAGCGCGCAGCCGTACATGATGAGCGACGACGTCTGGACGCGCTTCTTCGCGATGGACCAAGCGCTGCTTACGCTGCCCAAGGCGACGCTCGCGGCCTTCCTACGGCCCTACACGCATGCGCTCGGTAGGCCATGCATCACGTCGTCTTCCATGAACCTCTGTCTAGCGGCCAATACAATTGTCTCTGGCAACTTTCGCATGCTCGTGCGCCATGTCACGCGGAGCTTGCCGCACGTTGCCAAGCCGGCCGCCGCCCGGCCGCGCCATGTTCTCGGCGCGTCGCTGGCCAACATGACGAACGTCCTCGTCTTCCTGCGCCACTTTTGCATGCA